AGCGGTGCGTCGAACCTTAGTAACAGTGTGTGACAAGTGTCAACTTGTGTGACAAGTTTCAACGTGTTCGGTGAAATCAGTGGATGTGAACTACAGTTAAGAGAAGGTGTATTTTAAAGTGTGCTGTAAATCATCTTCCATCATGACAATGCTCTGTGTCACATATCGCTTCTGGTATATGGCAATTTCTGTCAAATAAAAACATTACAGTGTGTCCTCATCCACCTTCTTCACCAGATCTGGCACTGTGCGACTTCTGGCTCTTCCCCAAAGTCAAAGTCATTCAGGATGTCAAGGCAGCCACGACAACACAACTAAAGACATTCACGAAAGAGGGCTTCCAGAACTACTTCAGAAAGTAGCGCGATGGAATAAGTGGGTTCGAAGTGAAGCGGAATATTTTGAGGGGGATTAATGGCGATGTGTCTTACTGTAATAATTCTTTTAAAACATTCACCATATCGTTTGATCACACCTCATACCTAGAACAGGTAGTACAGTAACTATTTCCTGAATGAATGAGTGTTTTCTACAGTTTCTCTTCATTTTCTCTATTACAGTTCTAGGACTGCTGCATAACTGCAGTTTGAACTGGTCTTCCTTCCTCATTCTGGTCAGTTCATAGATGCCAAATGAATTTCCCTAAAGCATTGCTAGTTCTGTTATCTCTACTACATAGATACTCAATAAACATGTGAATGGACAAATAATACCCAAATCTTCCAAAGAGTACTTCCAGGTTCTCTCTCTGCCTAAGAACCTCTCTAGAAGCTGCAATTTTAAACTTGGCTATCAAAATTGTAAATTCCTTGAGGGCAAATATACTATTTCCTATTAATAGGAAAAGGCAGTCTAGTGGAGCACTTAACAGTTAAGACTGTGGACTCCGATTACCTAAATCCCAATCCTGGCTTATGACTTTGGAAAAAACAGTTGACTCTCTAAGCTTCAGATTCCTTATCTATACCATGAGGGTTGTATAGTACCTGCCTCATCCAGATGTTACGAGAATTGAGTGAAATTTAAGTGAAAAATCATATCAAAAGAACTTTTGGGCCCGCCGAGTGGCACATTGGGTAAAAGTTGGCTCAGGACGCCAGCTCTGAGCATCCGGGCCCCGGTTCGGATCCCACATGAGGTCCAGTGACGCTGTGCCCTCTACAGCTAAAATGGTGAACAACAGCTCAACCTGGATCTGGGCTGCCGTGAATCACTGGTAACCGCTTAGGCAGTGGAGCTGCAGTGGGCTCCCGTGAGTGGCCGGCAGCTGGCATGGGCAGCCAAGAGCCGCTGTGAGCGGGCGGGCATCCAGTGACCGGTGGGTGACCTACCTGCCTCACCCGGGAAGAACGCAATGATAATACCAACATGGGCCAGTGAAGCAATGTCCTCCACAACTAGACTGAAGAACAAAAGGACAGCAACTTGTCTGTTCCCC